ATATTCGCAAAATTTTGCCACGTGAAAATATCAAAATCGATAACCTTCGAAGGTTAGCGAAGACCTTTGAAGGATAATATATTGAAAAACAGCGAAATACTTATGCTAACGTTAACTTTCAAAGGTTTTCACTAAAAAAAATTTCCTGATGTAATTAGCTTTCTATCTCTGTGAGCATGAACCTTCAGGTGAATGTGAAATAGTTGCGAAGCATAGTGAAGCATTAGTTATCTATTTAATATGTTACTAGTTTTTTGTTTCAGCAAAGTAAAGCTCTTGCTAATTTCCAATCTGAAATCTTACGGAGTAAGGATATTTTACATCTGCTGAGTATTAAACTACATAATATAAAATTCTTTAGCATGTTTTTTACATGCTTTAGGTGTAGTAGCAGTCCCCTTACCATATATGCATAAAATGTATTTTTTTGCTCTCTAATATTTATAACACCCTTTAGGACATCGGCTTCTACATCCGTAAATTTCTCCAGAGTTGTGTATATATTCACATGTATATTCACCTCGCATTTTGATAAATTTATATAACTGAATTAATTATTTTAATTTAAACAAAAGATCTGGTTATATTAATAAAAAACACTGAATTATACCTGCCACCCAAATTCAAAATCCAAATGCCGAAATCCCAAATGCCGAAATCCCAAATCCCAAATCCCAAATTATGATTAGTATTTTTTGCCAAAATCCCAAATCCCAAATCCCAAATACTAGTAATTTGGGATTTTGGCGTCCCAAATCCCAAATGATTTGGGATTTGGGCAACACGTATACACTGAATACATATCGCTATGGTCAAAATACTTAAATGCCCAAGTTGTGATCAAGAAATAAGAACTGATAAAATCTGAGATCTTAATAAATACATGAATTTAAATGGAAACCTTTGTAAGGGACAATGCCTATTAGCTTTACGTTTAATGCAAAACCCAGTTCCAGCTCTAGTAGAAAATTCACCTATTCAAAATCCTGATGAAAACCTAACCCCAGCACAAAATCTAACACCAACTCCCGAAGGTAATCTCATATCATTCGATGAAAACTCATCAACTCTCCAGCCGAGAGAACCAAGTGCGCCAGCTGTCGACCTTTTAACTGATGATATTTCAATATAAGAGTTGAACCAAGTTCTAATACCCAAGAAGAACAAAAAAAGAAATCAATTTTATGATAGATGAAATAATAAAATAGTTATCAAAACTAGAAATAAAAATAATAAAAAAATTAGATCAAAGCTTATGTCTAAAACTGATGAAGAATAGTTTGATTTAATGGAATCAGATGATGATAAAGATAGCGAACCAAGTAATTCAGAATATGATACAGCTGATGAAGATCTCGATGTCTATTTTGAAAAAATTAATAATCCATACATTAATAGAATATCGGAAGCTAAAAAATTTAATGAAGGTGAAATATGTGATTATTACGTATTTGTTTCTAAAGGATATTTTGCTGAAGGTGAGCCATTAGCTTTCTTTGAATCAATCGAAGGAAAGATTTCCAATGTTTACAAAAAAGAGTTAGCTTTAAAGGGTGGATTAAAGGTAAGAATTATGTTATGTGCAAATATGAAACAAATTAAACTGGAAAATTCAGAACCTTTATTCTATACTTTTCCTTTCAAGTATGAAACAATAGAAATTATAAGAGAAGATCGAATTGAAGCTATTATAGAAAAAGAATATAATGAAATTATAGATGAAATACAAGATAAGGTGTTACAAGAATCTGGATGGTCATTTGTCCAAGTAGAAGAGGTATTTCTTGAAATAAGCATATTAAAATCATTGCAAAGAAGTAGTTATCTACCTTTACCAGAAGTTTTAGATAAGCCACAACTAGGATTAATTAATTCACAAAATAGGGATGATAATGAGTATTTTAAATGGTGTATAAGTACATATCACACAAGAAAGGAAATATTAAAAGCTAATAGAAAGTCACCACATCTTAATGAAATCTGGAGACTTAGACGAAATGCAAATATAGCAAATTTTGATGGTATAAAATTTCCAGTAACACTCCATGATATAGATAAATTTGAAGAAAACAATTCTAATTATGTTATCAATATATTTAAACTATTTTATAAAGAAGTTTTCAGAAAAATAAAAGTAGATATAGATCCATTACATATTTCAAAACGTAATTATCAAGTAGAGCATATGATAGATTTATTATATTTAACAGAAGGTGAAGAGAGTTTAAATAATCAAAAAAAATCAAAATGATATATCAGAAGGCTTAAAAACACATTATGTATATATAACAGATTTCGAGCGATTAATGCATAAGTGGAATAACCATCATGATAAAAAATACTTTTGCTGAAAATGCTTGCGATTTTCATATAGTTGATTAGATTTATTACAGAAACATATTCTTACATGTCCAAGTTCAAATAAGGCTTCACAATATTTAATTCTCCCAGAAGAAGGTAAGAATTATGTAAAACCCAAATATATCAAAAACATGTTAATGAAACCTTATTTAATAACTATGGATTTAGAAGCTAAAGAAATTGAAGCAGATGAAAAATATAAAGAAAGAAATACTATAAAAGAAGTAGAGCAGATAGCAATTTCATATAGATATACTATTCATTGTTCAGATTATACTTGCACACAAAATTATTTTGGGGTTTCGAAATTGCAATTTCAGGAAAAAAAGTCAAAATAGTTTTTCATAGAAGATGAAATTATTTTACTTATAACCTGAAATTTTTTGATCACCCAGATTTATTTTTTGATTAAAGATACATATAACTAGGTACTTTTTTTACTTCCATATATAGAATAGATTTTGCATAAATCTCAAAAAGTTGAAATACCTCAAAAATTTAAAATCAATTTTGGGAACATGTATAGTTCAGATAGAACAACGCAAAAATCAATGATTAATCAAAAATCAGAAAATATAATAAAAAACTTAATGGAAAACCTTCAAGAAGATCTAGAAGTTATTTTAGATAAGCTTCATGAAATAGTTCTATGTGAAAAAATGTTACCTGAATTATGATGAAATATCAAACTGCAAACAAATGTTGAATATGTGAAGAAAAATTATATGAAGCTAGATATAATAAAATTCGTGTATTCAATCCTGAAACTAAAAATATTTGGGTGTTTCGCATAGAAAATGTCACGGGAAAAAATCAATGATTCAAGGTAAGTTAGATGATGAGCAAAAAGAAAAATATAAATCTTGTAAGATATGTATATATTGCAAAACACAATTACCAGATGAGAAAAAAAATAGAGTGATAGATCATAATTATATTACAGGAAAGTTTAGAGGTTCAGCTCATAGTGAATGTAATTTAAAATTACGAATCAATTCAGAAACAATAAAAATTCCTATACTAATTTGTAATGGTAGTAGATATGATTTTCATCATCTTATGCAAGAAATAGCAAAGGTAATAGATGAGAAAATTATACCTATAGCAAATAATTCTGAACAATATATCACTTCCTCAGTTGGACAATTTCAATTTATAGATAGTATAAAATTTTTGTTATCAGGTTTAGCCAAGATGGCAGAAAATTTACGAGATAAAAAGAAGAACCAATCTAAAACACCAGAACAACTAGCAAAATGCTTTCCTATTATATCAAAATTTATTTCACCACCTTTATTATTTTTACTTACACGTAAAGTAATCTTTTCATATCAATGGTTAAATAACAAAACAAAATTTAATGAGATACATCTCCCACCACGTAAAGATTTTAACAGCGACTTAGATGGATATAATTATTGTGATCATAGGTGTGAAAATATACATGTTGCCCAAATCCCAAATTACTAGTATTTAGGATTTGGGATTTGGGATTTTGGCAAAAAATACTAATCATAATTTGGAATTTGGGATTTGAGATTTTGGCATTTGGGATTTGACATTTGGATTTTGAATTTGGGTGGCAGGTATATGTGAAAACAAAGAATGTGAACACGAGAAAGTCTATAAAATATTTCAAAAGGATTACAATTTTGTTCATACAGTATAGAAAGAAACTGGATGTAAAACTTTTAGAGATTATCACAATATTTATCTTAAATCTGATGTATTAATTTTGGCAGATGTATTCGAAACATTTCAAAAAGCTTCATATTTAACATTCAAGTTAGATCTAGCAAATTATCTAATAGCTCCAGGCTTGGCGTGAGACGTTTGTATGAAGGTAACTAAAGTAAAACTAGAATTATTTAATGAGTATCAAGGGGATATGCATGACTTCTTTACAACAATGAAAAGAGAAGGAATGTCCTTAACTAGAAGACGTATAGATCAAGTAAATATTTTAGGATTAGAAGGGTACGATGGAAAAAAAGCAAAAAAATGGTTACTTTATCTAGATGCCAATAACTTATATGGTTAGGTAATGTCGCAATATTTACCAACCAGTAGATTTAAATAGCTATCAACAAAACCTTTGGTTACATCTCACCTTTTAGTACAGAAAATTTTAATGATAAAAGAAAAATCAAATTAAGGATGTTGCTTAGAGGTTAAGTTATTAATTCCAAAAGAATTACATCCTAAATTTTGAGACTATACAATGTATTCAGAACGAAAAAATGTACCATATGATTGGTATAGTTCAAAACAAAAAGAATGGGTAGGCAAACAACGTTCAGATATAGAAAAATTTATATTAACTCTACATGATAAAGACCATTATATTATTCATTATAGAAATCTACAGCAGTGTATAAGAGAGGAATATGTTCTGAAAAAAGTATATAGAGTTTTAGGTTTTGAACAATCTCCATGGATGGAATCCTATATAACAATGAATACGCAACGATGAGCAAAAGCAAAAAATGTATTTGAAAAAGACTTCTGGAAGTTAATGAATAACTTAGTATTTGGAAAAACTATGGAAGATGTAAGGAAATGAGTAAATATTGATTTGGTTAGACAAGTAGGTGAAGAATAGAGATTACGTAGGCTAATTTCAGATCCAGCATTTGTCAGTCAGAAAATTTTCTATGGAGCAAATTTAGTGGCAGTGCATCAAAGACAGACTAATGTAAAGTTAAATAAACCTGAATATATAGGAGCATGTATTCTCGATCTTTCTAAATATTATATGTATGATTTCTGGTACAGATACCTTAAAAAGAAATATGGAGATCGGATGAAACTTTTATATACTGATACTGATTTGTTAATTATAGTTATTGAAACAGAAAATATATATCAAGACATGATCGATAATTGTGATTTATTTGATTTTAGCGATTACTCTGAAGACCATTGGATAGTAAAGAATCTTCCAGAAGATCAATGGATAATTAATGAAGAAGATAAGTGTGTCTTAAAAAATACCAAAGTTATAAGTAAGTGGAAAGATGAGAATGGAGGAGATCGAGCTATTGACTATGCAGGAGTTTGTATGAAATGCTATAGTATTGTGTGTGAAAATTCACGAAAAAATATGATAAAAGCTAAAGGTCTAAAAAAGTCTCTCATCAAAAAAAAGCTTATTCATAAAATATTCGAGGATTGTGTTTTTGAAGGAAAAGAGGATCAATCACGAACCGCTTAATTCCTCTGAAGTTACAGACATCAAATATATGCGGATAAAGTAAACAAAGAGAAGTGTTAATCCATTAGATACAAAATTGTAGATAGCTTAAGATATGGAAACGACATATTTATTTGGTGATTGCAAAATTCCTGAAAAATAAAAAATAAATTATATATAGATCAATCGCCCGGAAATTTTTTTATATTATTAGTTTGACTCAATAGGTTTATCCTCTTCATCTTCGCTATTATAAAAGTCTATCTCCCAGCAAATAAAATCGGATGTAGTATTTATTTTATCATCAATATCTCTTAAAAAGTAAATATAGTCATCTATAAGATCACTTAGATTTTCTGAAAAATTAATATAAAGTATAAGGGGTTTATACATTCTTATCGCTCTTTGCAAAATTATGCGGTCATGTAATAAAACGATCTACTAATAAAATGCCGAAAACCAGTGATTACAAAATACGTGTCATATGAAAAAATTTATATTACAT